AGGCGGGTGAGTTTTTCGCCCGCCCCCCCCTTTCCCCAAGGGTGGGTGTGGGGTTTTTTAATAAAGTAATTACGGCTTTTGGGCAACATGTTTTTGGGCAGGGCCCGGGGAGCCCGGGTTACCCCCCCCCCCCCCCCCCGCACACATAGCGAAGTTGATTGGGAAGGGTAAAGCTCAGATAGGCAAGATGGACGAGATCCTTACGGACCCACACCTAGACACTAGGATTAAGAGGTGTATTCTCTTGAATGTGATTGTACCTAAGCTAGAGTATGCAGGAGAGGTATGGGAAGGTAACGAAAAGGCCGTCAAGCAGCTGGAAACGGTGCAGATGGCAGCGGCCAAGAAAATACTAGGATGTTCAAGTACAACGAGCAACACTGTATTGAGAGCAGAATTGGGAATGTACTCTCTTAAAACAAAGAGAGACATGCAGAAGTTGAAGTGGCAGTACAAGGTAAGTAGAATGTCGGACGATAGACTACCAGCCATGGTTGACGAGGCAGCTTGGGGAAAAGCGACTCCAGGGAAGAAGGGAATCAGATGGGACAAGGTGGTCGAGAAGGTTTGGAAGGAGATAGGAGACGAGGAGGAGACGTTGGACACGGAAGGGTTCGGGGGGTTCAAGACGAAAGTCAAGGAGATGCTAGAGAGTAGGGAGGAGGCAACCCTTCGGAAGAAGGTACGAAGCGAAGACCACTTGGAGATATACGGGAAGTTGAAAGAAGGGATAGGGATGAAGAAGTACTTGGACGGCCCCATGGACTATGCGAAAAAGCTGAAATTGCAATTTCGAGTAGGCGATCTGGACTTGCCAGAACGGAGGAAGAGGTATACCAGCCGTAGGAGAGAGGAAGAGGAGGATAGACACACATGTCCATGTGGCAAATCGGAGGAGAGTAGACCCCACATAGTTGGGGAGTGTGAGTTGTACAGGAAGGAAGGAGAGGATCTCGAGGAGGAAATGAGACAGAGAGGGTGTGACATGGACAAGTTTGGTAAATTAGACAACAGCGAAAAAACGATCGCGATAATTGGGGATAGATGGTGGGCACAAGAGGCCCTAGAGGACGGGGATAAGTTGTGCAAGAAATTTTTTATGGAGTTTGTAGCAGAAACGTAAAGAGCTCCCAAATGTTGGTGGTGTCTCTAGTAGGTGTAGGAACGGTGCTCCGTCTCGAAAGGGACGCGTGGTCAATGGTCAAATGACTACGGCAAGCAACAATGAGTACGCCCCCCCCCCCCCCCGCGCGCTCCGATTTTTTACCCCCCTCCCCCAGGGCTCCCGGGGGT